GCGGCTGCACAGGGAGGAGGCAACGTGGTGCAAGCTGCTCTGGAGGAACCTGCTGCTCAGCCCTGTTGGGTGGCATCCCCCGGGGCTCTGGTGCTGATGCCAGGGGCTGAGAGGAAGGACTGTCTGGAGGATGGGAAAATTGGAGGGAAAAAAGAAAACTGGGTACAATCTGTCTGGCTGTTCTTTCCATATTATTTTAATTTTTAAAACATAGAAGGAATGAGCCTAGTGACTGATTTGCAATCCCCTTAAACGCAGGGCTCCTTGTTTGCAATGGGTACCCACACACAATCTGCACGATCAAGGATGTACCTGCACAGAGACTGGGCTGGCCGCAGGACAGGGCAGGCAGTGACTTCTTTGACTTTGAAATTTGCTTCTTGGACAGCTCCCCACGGCAGGGGCTGTGCCAGGAGGCAACCAAGGCAGGAGAAACTTCAACAAGAAGCCCCGGGGGCTGATGTGCAGGCTTGTCTGAAGCCCAGGATCCTTCCCGTCCCATCAGTCCTTCCCAGCGCGGACCCTTTCGCTCCTGCTGTCGGGAGCATGGGGAGGGAAGCGCTGCTGCAGCGTCTGCAGGGCACGAAGGGAGCAGGAGCCCTGGTGCAGCCTGCCCCGATGCTGCGCAGCACCTGGCAGGGGTCCTGGCATCCCCCTCCTGGGGACACCAAGGGTGGCAGGTCTTGACAGATGCTTTTCTAGGTGGCCTTTGGCTTCTGAAGAGCATCAGGCTCCCGGCAGTCGTGAATTACAGGACAGGGAAGGCAACAGCCCCACAACCCCCTATGCAAACGCTGTCCCTGCAGCCCGCCCCATGCAAGTGCTGCGTCCACAGCGGGCAAGGCTTGTGAACAGCCCAGGATGAGCGGAGCTGGCAGGGGCAGCGATGTCCCCGGCACCGTGTCCCCAGGCACACGTACCGAGCACGTCTGCTGGCTGTCGTGAAGAGCCCGCGCGCCGCACGGTGACGAGGCACCTGCAAACTTACAGCCCAAAGAACCGCGAGAGGCCGCGGTGACAAACGCTCGTGAGAAGCGATTGTTTTTTGGGGGGAGAGGAGAAAAAAAGACGTGTTTGTCTTGGCGAAACACCTACATTCCTTCAAATAAATCATCGCAGCACTTGTTTTTGTATTTGCGGAGAAATCGCAACAGACATAACCAGGGACTTAAGAGACTTGAAATAACATCCTAGTAAATACTCCACTTTGTTATTTTAATCGAGACCCAAGGAAACATCTGAATTTTACCAAGGAAACCCTCCGTGCAAGGGAAAACATTAGCCCGCAGCCCGGCTGGCGCTTTGTTTTCCTTCGCTTTCGGTCTCCGGAGGAGGAATTACCAGGGCAGAGAGCGGCGCTGGGCACAGCCCCCCCCACAGCTGCCCCGCGGCGCCGCTC